AGAAAAAAACTGTTCTTCCCTGCGGCGACCACTTGATCAGTTGAAAACTTAGAGGGGAAAGGTAACAAAAGGACGTATCAGTCAGAACCACGTCGCTATTTTGGGATTCTTGGCCCGAGTTGCAACGATTGAACTGATATAAACTATCGGAAATCAATTGCCTTCTGAAAATGGAATCATCTCTACTTTGAGGAGGTTCTCCAACTCCTTCAGAGTATTGTCGAACTGGTTTTGGTGCCCATCGGACTTAACGACGCATAGCCGTGGGAAAAAAAAGAATAATTTGCTTAAAGCAGACGATCGTCTTGGGCGGGTTACTATCGCAGAGGACTGAATCCAAGAGAGGCTTTATTGATTTCAGAAACAAGATGAATTTTTTTTTTCTTTTAATTGGGTCCCCTTCAACATCGTCTACCTCTTCTTATTTGTATTTCTGGCTTCTCTACAATAAATTGTTAAGTACCTGAATCTTATGGAGTCGTTAATTAAACTGAAGTGTAAGATTTTCACTTCGCTTCTTTATTCTTTTTTATCGTTGCTCAAATCACTTCCCAAATTCTGATTCCCATACGGCATCATCTGCTTTTCTTATCTACATGTGAAGATGTTTTTAAAAAGATAGGCAGTTTTGTCCAGGAGAAATGAAAATAGAACATTGAAGAGGGGTAGAGGTTTATCCCTTGTTTCCTGCTTAGGACTGGGTTTCCGGTTCCTTCTAAAGTCTACTTCAACATTATATGCTTTTAACGTCTCCGGCTGAGCTGTGAAATTTTATTCACTAATTATTTTCTCTCATCTCCCAATGGGAGTAGATAGGTTCGTCTATCGTCCGGTTCACACTTCTCTCCCGTCATTTGAACAGGAGTAGAGGTTTATTCCTTGTTTCTTGATTAGGATTGGGTTTTCGGTTCCTTCTAGAAGTTACTTCCACATTGTACTCTAGCTGATCTCTAAATTCACTAATTAACTAAGTTATTGTTATCTTTCCTGTATATCACTGAAAACTTTCATTCTTGCCTTTTCTTACGTTCATACAATACCACACCAATATTAACATTACCAATGACTTTTCAGGCTTTTTAGAAATTACTTAAAAGCTGTAGAATTCATATTAAATATTAATATAATGATTTGCAAATAAATAAATAAAGGGAGACTACTCTGTAGTCAGCCAAACTCCAACTACAATTAAAATTTAAAGTTAGCTTTTCTTCTATTAATCCCTCATCAGAAGAAGTGTGGCATAATGCCAGATAGGGTAAAATAATAATTTTATTTCTTCTATTTTCTCCTAAACAAAAAAAAAATAATGTATCAAAAAACTGCATACATCAGAAAGTGAATGTATTTTGAAAATACGTTCACTCAGTTATACATTTTTAATACATTCTTGATATATTCTAGACTGGTTTGAACTTTGGTTCAAAACAATCCAACCTGACTGTTTTCCGGAAAAATTGTTTTAAGAGCAAGATTTTATAAATTTCAACTGAAACTAGTACTGACTGCTTAGTCAATGAATGCTAAATGTTTCCTTATAAGGAAACAGCTAACATTACCATTATCAATGACTTTTTCGGGCTTTTGAAAAATTACTAAAAAGCTATAGAATTCATATTTAAATATTAATGTAATAACACATTTACCTCGAAAAGAAAATACTGTCATAATAAGTGTTGATGTTACACATTACATCAAACAAAAAGTTAGGAAGGAAATCTCCAACAGTATTGGAGAGAAGAACAACTACTAGTGAACTTGATAAATTTATTTTCCTGAAAAATTGTTTGAAGAGAAAGATTTTATAAATTCCAACCACCAACATCATTAGCTTCTCAGTCAATGAATGCGGAATTTCCTTATAAGAAAATGGCTAATATTATGATTGGCATTAAAGATTAGGAGAATAGATAAGTCAAATACAAGCAATACAACCGATATTTATTTCACTTTGTGGTGTAGTATTATCAACCTTCAAAACTACATCAAATGTAGTTATCATATTGGAAAGAGCAATAACAGCTACTGGATTCAAAACCTGTTTTCCTGAAAAATTGTTTTAAGAGAAAGATTTTATAAATTTCAACTATCATCAGCAAGGAAACGGCTAATACTGCAATTGACTAATGCCAATGGCAATTTTTGCCATTTTGGTTTGTGGCTACAAGCCAAATCGATCGTTAAATTTTACAGATTTATTGCCATTAGCAGTTTTGCGTACGAATACAGACATTTTTTAGGTATTTGTTACAAAAAGATTTATTCTAAATAAAGAATATATATATATATATATATATATATATATATATATATATATATATATATATATATATACAGTGGTATATATATACAGTGGGGGAAATAAATATTCGTACACATGAAAAATTGTATTTTTATAAATGAAAAAGCCTTAACTAAAACAAATTTTGATACATTTTATGTGTAATGATACATTTTATTACAAAATAGTAATAAACTTAATTAATTCTTATTTAACAGAAATTAATGCATTTTTTCATTTTAACAGATGAAAAACGTATTCGTCCAAAACAAAAAAAGTATATTAACTTAATTTAATACTTTGTGGAATATCCTTTATTGAGTTCAACAGCTGCCAGTTTATTCCTGCACGTCTCAACTAATGATTTACACACATTGAGTGGTATTTTGTCCCATTCTTCTTGGCATATTGTCTTCAAATTCTTGATATTTGTTGGTGGTCTTTTCCCAATTTGAATTTTCAAATCTCGCCATAAATTCTCGATTGGGTTCAAGTCTGGGGACTGACTTGGCCATTGCAAGATATCAACGTTACTTTCAGCTAACCATTTCCTTGTAGATCTAGCGGTATGCTTAGGATCATTATCCAGTTGGAAAACCCAATCAGGAGGTAGCCGAAGTCTCTCAATAGAACACATTAAATTGTCTTGCAGGATTTTCTGGTATCTTTCGGCATTCATCTTGCCATCTATTATTGATATTCTGCCAACACCTTTTGCAGAAAAACAACCCCAGATCATGATACTGCCACCAGCAAACTTTACAGTTGGCAACATGTTCTTTGGTAAGTAAGCTTCAGCGTCCTTTCTCCACACATGATTTTGATAATTATGACCAAACAACTCCATTTTAGCTTCATCTGTCCATAGTACTTTTTTTCCAAAACGAATATTCTTTATCGTTATGCTCTCGAACGAATTTTAACCTAGCATTTCTGTATCGTTTCAAGAGGAGTGGAGTCTTCCTTGGAATGCGTGATTTCAGACTGTTTTTGCGTAGTTCATTACTTATTGTACGCTTGGTTACTTTAATCCCTAATGCACGCAGATGTTCCTGCAGCTTTTCTCGGGTAACCTGTAGATTTTGTTGGATCTGGCGTCCTAATATCCTTGGTGATCTTAGAGAAATCTTCCTCGGAGCACCTGTTGGTCTTTGGTTTTCGACTCTGTTACGAGTTTTAAACCTTGCAATGAACGAAGAAATTGTAGTAAAAGGAATATTCAGTTTGTTAGAAATCGTTCTGTAACTTTTCCCATCTTTCCAAAGAGACAAAATGTGTTGTTTTTGTGAAATAGTCAATTCTTTATCTTTAGGCATTATTAAAACCTTCTTGTGAGACTAGAAAATGCATAATGCTCTGATAACGGCTAATAGCGTTAAGTATAATTACTGATTACTGGAACATTCTAGAATATACTTTTTTCATAATTAATTGATTATTTTATTCTAATAATTGATTTGTACGAATACTTTTTTCTCTAGTTAGAATTATAAAAAAAATGCATTAATTTCTGTTAGAATAAGAATTAATTAAGTTTTTTTTTTTTTAAGCGTTTCACCCCAAGCAAGGCGGGAAGCCACTAGGACGCAAGGGGTTACAGAAGATTTGGAGCAAGATCAGATAGGAGTGATAGAAGAAAGGATGAGGAGAAGGGTAGTGGATAGATCAAGGCAACTGGAGATGTTGATTGACATTACATTTGAATCGCTGGAGATTATAGCTCTCAGGGAAACTGGAATAGGGAAGGGAGTTCCACAGGCAAGAGGTGCGAGATATTGGAGTAGAAGAGACGGCTACATTTAGGAGTTTCGACGGTGAAGGGATAAGAGCGAGATGCCAGCCTCGTAGAGCGCTTGAACTCATGAAGTCTGGGAACCAGCGAATATGTGTCTTTATACATAAAATGTGCCGAGATTTGTTTTATTTAAGGCTTTTACATTTATAAAAATACAATTTTTCAAGTGTACGAATATTTATTTCCCCCCCCACTGTATATATACACAAACACATATATACATATATATATTTACATACATATAAATATATATACACACACACACACATATACATATATATATATATATATATATATATATATATATATATATGTGTGTGTGTGTGTGTGTGTGTGTGTGTGTGTTAATTGAAGGATAAAAATGTACTAATTAATGCAATTACTGGTCCGGTTTTCTTTCATTTAAGTTAAATAATTATGAATCTCAAATGATTGTGCATGCGAAAAAATTCCATATCATTTTTTTTTTCAAAGTTAAAAACCATTTTTTATACTTGACAAAATTAAATAAATGTTCAATTATCAATGACGTCAGAGCAGTTTCAAACTTACAACTAAGAACCAAGAGACTAAGACGAAGACTAATAACTCGGTGAAAGTTAGGTAGGGATCGATTTACCTCTGTTAGAAACAGAACAAATCAATCCCCTATCCAATTTCTAAATCGATGACAAATCTATAATGTTTGATTCTGACAAGTGTCACGGACCAAGGAAGGCCTAATCTACAAAAATTATTTCCCTAAAGAATTTTCTCTGTTTACTTTTTATTTTCTTTTTCTTTTTTTTTCTTTTTTTTTTTTCATGAGTGGTACCAGACTATTCAAGTAGTTCTTAAGGTTCTCTCGCAGATCGATTCACTCGTTCGAGACTCGCTGAGGGCCCAACATTTATTGGAATCTTTCCAGACTAAGTGAAACCGTATTTAATCCATTATGTATTTTTCTTTCATTAAAAACTTTCGTCTGCCCTCAATGCAGAAATTTCTCTTGATAGAGAAAACGAGACTCTCGTCATTTGGATAGCATCCGTGATAGAGAGATATGAAAAAAGTCACATAGATAGATAGATAGATAGATAGATAGATAGATAGATAGATAGATAGATAGATAGATAGATAGATCATGGAAACTAGAATATATAGAGATAATGTGAAGACTTTGATAGATAGATAGATAGATAGATAGATAGATAGATAGATAGATAGATAGATAGATAGATAGATAGATAGAAAAAGAACTAGAATAGATAGAAAGATAAGAACAGACTGAGATAGATAGATAGATAGATAGATAGATAGATAGATAGATAGATAGATAGATAGATAGATAGATAGATTATACGACACTTGGAACGGCTCATGGTAAACATAATAGACATTCCTTGTCTGTTATATTTAACAATATATGTTTGAACAATGATCTGCTGTCCCTATACACTATATATATATATATATATATATATATATATATATATATATATATATATATATATATATAAAGTTAAGCAGTTTTTGCAGATATGGAAAGTACGTGAAAACCATACCACCCCAGATTTGTGGAGTGAAATTGGGCAGATAGATAGATAGATAGATAGATAGATAGATAGATAGATAGATAGATAGAAAAAGAACTAGAATAGATAGAAAGATAAGAACAGACTGAGATAGATAGATAGATAGATAGATAGATAGATAGATAGATAGATAGATAGATAGATAGATAGATATGAAAAACTGAAATATATAGATAGATTATGGAAATGCATGATAGATAGATAGATAGATAGATAGATAGATAGATAGATAGCATATAAAGAAGGTTAAATATGAACAGAGACAGAAATTCCTGAAATGCTGATTAGCATAATGTGTGGCACTGAAAGAAATCCAATAGCATTAAACGCACATTTGTCACAACCTTTGCTTTGTAGGTCAATAAAACAAGTCTCTGTGTGCATCGATATAGATTTACAAGTTTTACAAGTGTGTACAGCAAAAGTACATGTTATGATTTCAGCTGCGTTTTCGTCTGGAGATCCAAGCATGCGTGGGTAGGAAAATGAATATAAGTTTGCATATCCAAGTATTAAACACGTCTGTAGACGCGAAAAAAGAATATGGTTTAACGCCATTATCTTCCAGCTATCGGATTTGCATGCTGCAATGACGTCAAGCGCGATGCTACACGAAGCAAAATTTTCTCAGTGCAAACTCTAACTACCAATTGTTGAATGCTTTCAGCATTATAATATTCAGTTTGGAGTTTTTTTTGTTTTTTTTTAACAATGAGATTAACTCTATTATTCGGACTATTGTCCTCATCTTTGTCGCCATGACGACAAAGATGAGGACAATAGTCTGAATAATAGAGTGAATTTCATTGTTAAAAAAAAAAAAAAAAACGTTTCGACCGTTGTACGCTCCGGCCTTCTTCAGGTGGTTGGAATGTCGAACTGAACCCTTTATTTCGCTCACTGGGGTAGACTGTTCTACTTCCTCAAGGACACATAGCACACTGGATAAAGGCGTTGGTTAGATCTAATGACAGGACCCAAATACTGTGAGTTCAATACCCGGTTAAGGCAGTGGAGAACTTTCAGAGGGGAATTAACAGGAGATAACTGATAACTGACATCCATTAAACATGGCACGTGGAACTAGAACAGTCTACCCCAGTGAGCGAAATAAAGAGTTCAGTTCGACATTCCAACCACCTAAAGAAGGTACATAATACCTCATCTCAGAAATATAGACAGATACTGAAACGTTGTAATAAATATGTGGCGACAAAGATGAGGACAATAGTCCGAATAATGCAAATAGTGTACATAATACCTCATCTAAAAAATATAGACATATTATGGATTGTCATTATTTGAAGATGTAAAAGAAAATGAATGAAACAGAAGAAAAGAATTTCAACACGGAAATACCTTCTTGTACTTTTATATTACTAATAAAGAATTAAAAAAAAAAATATCAATGTCTACACATTTGAAAAATAATACCATCCAAGCCTTGTGAGTGTAACTGGGTATATATATATATAAGCAGTTTTTGAAGATATGGAAATTGCGTGAAAACCATACCATCCAAGCCTTGTGTGTGAAATTGGGTACACTAACACCTTCGATAGCTGTGTTAACACAAAGTCACAAATCATCGTGTCCGAGGGCTTGAGCGTGCTGGCCTTGTTCAAAATGTTGATCACGCGAGATAACAAGCTCTTTCCCCGAAACTGTAACTAATGTCTGCTCAGCATAGTTACAGTATAAACCACAGAGCAGGCGTCTGCTATAGGGATTGACTAGCCACCCTAGTAGACGGACGTCCTCGAATAAGAGTGGCAAGCTATAATATATATATATATATATATATATATATATATATATATATATATATATATATATATATATATATATTTGAATAAAAAACAGACCACTTTAAGGTTCCATGTGATAAATTATTTCACCACAGCCCTTTTAAAGGGCTCTGGATCATCAGACTTTACTTCCAATATGCTTAATACGGCCCGTCAAAAATGTGTAAATTTTTCATTTTTCATTTCAACCTTTGGAAGTAAAGTCTGATGATCCAGATCCCTTAAAATGGCTGTGGTGAAATAATTTATCACATGGAACCTGAAAGTGGTCTGTTTTTTATTCAAACATATTTGCTCTGAATTTACATTGAGCTCTCCGGATATCATCCTCCTTGGGTCTACCCAGACGGATTACCTAGTTTTGCATAAACTATCTATCTATCTATCTATATATATATATATGAAAGAAAAATACAGAAAAAAATAAAATTCTGAATATGCATTATTAATGTTAAAATAAAGCCGACGTCCGACGTTTCGGTCTATTTAAGACCATCTTCATGGACATTTTCATTTAAACATAATTAACATTATAACTTATAACAATTTAACACAAAAGACGATGGACATAAGAGCCCAACTAATTCAGACAGATATCAAAGCTTGTTGAAGATATAAGAACCAATTGATCACTACGTATTCCAACATCAACGGTAGAGATTTCTTTAATTGTTTATAAAAATTTTTCATTCGACTTTTTGATATTTTAATTTTTGGAAATCATCTTCGAATACGTCTTAACAACATCGCCCACGTGACGACTACGTGATCATATTTAAACAGAACGCTGATCTGTATAAAATTTCAGTTATCTGTCTGAATTAGTTGGGCTCTTATGTCCATCGTCTTTTTGTGTTAAATTGTTATAAGTTATAATGTTAATTATGTTTAAATGAAAATGTCCATGAAGATGGTCTTAAATAGACCGAAACGTCCGACGTCGACTTTTTATTTTAACATTAATAATGCATATTCAGAATTTTGTTTTTTCTGTATTTTTCTTTCATACTGTCGGATTTATATCCATATATTTGCTTATATATATATATATATATATATATATATATATATATATATATATATATATAACAGTGAACATTGAAGACAATGTTCACTTTTATATTTATACACGCTCTATCTCTGATATTGAGCACTTTATCCCATAAATATTGCACACCTTAAGACTATATTTCTTCATCTTTATATATATATATATATATATATATATATATATATATATATATATATATATATATATATATATTCTATGTATCTACTCTCTTGATCTCCTTGTTTTTTTCTTTGACACTTACTCCATCGCCATTTATATATACCTTGTCATGAAACAACCAATTTATGACCCGGTTTATCTCAGTCCGTCTAATTAGCTTCTGCCTGACCAATTCCTGTTTTTGTGAACCGTTAATACGACAGATCATCTTCCATTAACCTCTCATTAAAGAGTTATCTAATTAAGGAGAAAATCTTTTATTTCCTTCTACACTACATTAAGCTCAACAAAACTCCGAAATTATTTGCGGGTAATAATTTTTTATGTTTTTTTTTTTTTTTTGTGTGTGTGTGTGTGTGTGTGTGTGTGTGTGTGTGTGTGTGTGTGTGTGTGTGTGTGTGTGTGTGTGTGTGTGTGTGAAATGAAGCATTTTATAAGATTTTTTTCGGAGAAATCACTTAATGCCATAAAAGCAACATTACTAGATTCAAATTACACTGGTTTTTTTTTTGGAGGGGGGGTTCTTTCAAACGAGCCTCTTTTATTCCTTTCTTTATTTTCGTTTTCACAAATCTTCGGCCGCAGTGTTCTCCGTCTTTTCCCGAATATTCATTGTGTTCTATAAAGTCGTGCGTTGTTCTGGGAAGAACATGAACTTCTCATCCCATACACATCAAATCCGATACCTGTGGATATAAATCTCCCGGAAATGTCGAATTCCGGATACCACGCGCTAAAATTTAACTTTCCAGTGAACTGGGTAAATTTCTTTGACACTCTTACGTCATATCATCTAAGCCTTAAATTCATTGTTACTTTTTTTTTTACTTATTAGTCATTCCCAGGTGCTACTAATCCAGAGCTGGTGCCTACTACCACCGAACCCTCAACGGGTGGAACCTGATTGGGGACCCCGGACAACGCTTTGTGACCCTCACTATCTTATCAACATTTGAACCAACAAGGTGAGGGGCAAGCCTTATTGAGGCCTGGGTAGATCTATGTGACCTTCGCTATCTTAACATTTGCCTTTTTCTATCTACATTGATATACATTGCAAATTATACTAAGCCTAAATGACTACTGAAGGATGGAAAATTTCCGGGGATTTTGAAGTCATTCTGGGTTCTTTTTTATCCAATTCTGTGAATTTGTTTTGATCATGCCAAGTCTCGAAAATTTTATATAAAATTCACTATTTTTTTTTTTGTCCATAATGTCTCTAATTTGTATTTAGATATATTGTACAGGGTGCGATGGATAAACTGTCGTCTAAATAACGCATAAAATGAAAAGAACACTGACATCTCATTTTAACAGATGTACAGGGTGCGATGAATAAACTGTCGTCTAAATAACGCAAAAAAGGAAAAGAACACTATCTCATTTTAACAGATGTACACGGTGCGATGGATTAACTGCCGTCTAAATAACGCAAAAATGAAAAGAACACTGACATCTCATTTTAACAGATATATTTACCAAAATTACACAAACATATTCTGGAATACTAAAGAGTAAATTTATTCAAAAAAATCGGCATTAGCTTCAACCACGGCCTCAAGACAACTTCGGAATCTCCTGCAACTCTTCTGAGCGGTCACCTTGTTAAAGTTGGTGAATGCTGTCATAATCCTTGCCTTCAGTTCATCTTTAATGTTACAAGAAGTTTTTTTTTTTTTTTGGCTTACACTCAACGGTGCTCCACATAATAATCAATGGAGGTTGCAGTCTAGGGAATTAGATGGCCATATGTAAGAGGTGATGAGATCGTAGAAAATGCCTGACAGCCGTGACTGGGTCCTCCTGTTTGTGTGACATGGTGCATGAGAGCGGCCGTGCAGGTATTCTCAAAGAAGGAGACGGCACGGTTAGTGGTGAGACGCCAGGTGTCATGGTTCTCAGTTAGGTTTGACTATTGGCAATGGTTAATATGACAGACAACAAAGGATTTTTTTTTTTCAGGCAATCTTTGGATCGCTTCTTTGGTGCCCCACTGCCACGACAGCCAGTGGAGATCTCGCCGTAAAATAAACTTTTATGCAGGCGATGATTTTCCATCCTGGAAACATGTCCAATTCTGCGCAGCTGAGACTTCAGCAGCATGGCCTCAATACTGGTGATCTTCGCTTTTTCAAGAACTTCGATACTTTGAGAAGAACTTGGAGACGAAGTCACTCCAGTGTATGTTAAGGATCGTGCGGAAGCAGCGCTGGTAGAACCGTTCGAGGAGTCTCAGGTTATGTCGGGAGGGGACCCATGACTCTGAGTCGTATAGGAGAGTAGCGAGGACGATAGCTCTATACACCCTGATCTTTGTACAGTCATCCAAATGCAAATGCAATGCTCACCCTTGCCAGTCTGTTGTCGACCTCCTTGTCGATCCCAGCATCCAATGTGATGGTACAATGATTATGTGGCGAGGACGATACTCATCCCGAGGCGCAGGTTGGTAGAGTACCTCTGTCTTCTTTAAATTGACTTCAAGCCCAAAAATCTTGGCAGCCTCTGTGAAACAGGAAGTGGTCCGCTGCAAAACCCCTTTTGTATGGGCAACAAGGGCAGCTTCGTCAGCAAAGGAGGGGTCTTGGATAAATTGTTCCAGGGTATCTGCCTGGGCTTTTAATCGTCATAGATTAAAGAGACCACCATCGAGACGGTATTTGATGGAGACTCCATCCTCATCACCAAGATCTTGCTCGAGCATCATGCTGAAAAAGTGTTATAAAATAAAATAAGACATATCTCGGCTGATTTACAGGCACATACGCAAGAGCGAGAGCAGGATGTGAACGGGACAAAACCCCGTCACAAAATGACCATTATCTTCATTTACAAATGTTCCCGACACTCGAGTTCCGGTCGATAAATAAAATAATAATTAAAGTGTTCTATTTTCCGTCCAATAAAAATGCTTCCCTCCTAATTATACTCGCTTCCTTTTTTGAGCCTGTTAAGCCATAAAACAACGCTATAAAAGGGGGTCACACGGAAGTTCAACAAGCAGTCCACAGGTGCCCAGGGTAGAGACCTGTCACGTTCAGCAGTTGACAGCAGGGGAGCGTCAACCACCGTCAACATGTGTGAACTACTATGAGAGATCGAACTAGATCCGAAGCCGGCTTATAAACTTTACCACAAGATAGCTGTCCCAAACCCACACGTTCCTGTTGAAATAAACCACGTAAATCTATTTCTGCTGTTGTCGTATTTCTTTCTTGCAACCATACGCTTGTCTATAACAATAGTGAAGAGAGTCGATGCCAGAACGCAGCCCTGCTTTTTACCGTAGGTGATCGAGAAGGGCTCTGAGAGATCACTGTTGCGTCCAAATTGGCCATGCTAATCATCGTGCAGTTGGATGATCATGTTCAGGAACTTTGGAGGGCAGCCGAGTCACCCCATGATCTACCTCATTCCTCTTCTGATTTCTGTGTTGAATGCTTTCGTCAGATTAATGAACGCCACATACAGCCCGTTGTTTTGCTTCTCCCGACACTTCTCCTGCAGCTGCCGGAGAACAAACACCATTGTGATTCTGTTGGTTCTGAAGCCGCTCTGACTCTCTGGAAGGTGCTATTCCGCGATGGCAGGTACCAGCATATTCAGCAGAAAATAAAATATATATAAATCACACACACACACACACACACACACACACACACACACACACATGTATATATATATATATATATATATATATATATATATATATATAATCCGGTATTCTTATTAATATTTTATTTTACAAAAGAGTGCTCAATGTAAATTTACAAACCATAAATATTATAAATTAACTGATTTAAAAAACTGATTTAAAATTTTAATATATACATATATAATAAAAATATATAAAACACACACACACACACATATATATATATATATATATATATATATGATCGAAATAAAAGTATAAAAATTAATATTACGAGACATATTAAAAACGGGTGAAGCAACCGGTTTCGCTCCCGCTCTTCAGACTTCAACGGGAGATTTAAAATTGACACAGAAAAATGTACAATAAAAGGAATTGTAAAATATATATATATATATACATATGCAAAAGGAACTAGAGACAAATGACAGCGAGTCCCAACAAACACTCACGTTGTTTGCACAAAGAAGGCTTGCGAGACCCGATGTAAAGTGCCTCCAGAACCTTTAGATGAAATAAAGAGCCAACACGGTGAACCAATCAACACTAAATTTGGCTGCACAATCTCTGCTATTTAAAAAATGTTCGCATATGGCGGAACTGTAGGTGTTCGGGACGAGTCCATTCAAAGGCAAGGTGTGGTTTCTAATTTTAGTAGGAACGTGCTGCTTTATTCTAGTGTCTAAGCGCTGAGTTGTTCTCCCTATGTAGTTGGCTCCGCAACTACAAACGTATTTGTAAATAATTGAATTAATTTGATGGGGAGGGAAAACGTCTTTACACGCAGATCGAAACATAGGCCGAGTTTGAAAAATAAGCTGAACTTCAGCAGAGAAAAAACAACAACGAACATTGGATGAAATTTGTTTGGCTATTTTTTCACATTTGGTACCAATCCAGGGTAATCTGAGGTAAACTGGGCATTTTTTTGACAGTGTAGAGCTCGGCACTTCTGAACTCTTCAACTTTACTACGGATAACTGAATTAACAGTATCAAGAGGATAACCCAAATTACATAGGGTATCCTTAATAAAGTCGATTTCATCGTTCAAGAAAGGCTCAGAGCAGATCTTTAATGTTCTATGTAGGAGCTCCCTTCCCATCAAATTAATTCAATTATTTACAAATACGTTTGTAGTTGCGGAGCCGACTACATAGGGAGAACAACTCAACGCTTAGACATGAGAATAAAACCACACGTTCCAACTAAAATTAGAAATCACACCTTGCTGTTGAATGGACTCGTCCCGAACACCTATAGTTCCGCCATATGCGAACACCTATTAAAGAACAGAGATTGTGCAGCCAAATTTAGTGTTGACTGGTTCACTGTGTTGTCCTGGTCACACTCTTTATTTCATCTAAAGGTTCTGGAGGCACTTTACATCGGGTCCCGCAAGCCTTCTTTGTGCAAACAACGTGAGTGTTTGTTGGGACTCGCTGTCATTTGTCTCTAGTCCCTTTTATATATATATATATATATATATATATATATTACACTTCCTTTTATTGTACATTTTTCTGTGTCAATTTTAAATAATCCCGTTGAAGCCTGAAGAGCGGGAGCGAAACCGGTTGCTTCACCCGTTTTTAATATGTCTCGTAATATTAAGTTTTATACTTTTATTTCGATCATTAAATTTTGTATCTACAAAAATATCTTTAAATATATATATATATATATATTACATGGAATAAAAATCCAAAGTTATTTCTTTCGAATAGGTATTATTAACTATACATACATACATACATACATACATATATATATATATATATATATATATATATATATATATATATATATATATATATATATATATATATAATATCTATTCGAAAGAGATAATTTTGGACATTTATTCCATGTAATATATATATATATATATATATATATATATATATATATATATATTGGGGGGTGTTATGTGTATGTGTGTTTGTGTGTCTTATGTATTTTTTATTTTATATATATATATATACATATAAGATGAAGAATAACTCACCAGATACGTACCCCTAAATTCCCGCGATTGTCAATTTCATACTACTATACGCAATGCTCAAGTGGTGATGAAGAATAAAGCAAGATGTATTTCTCTTGAATTGTCCCTCATCCGTGTCAGAAGATTGCATATATATATAGATAGATAGATATGAACAGACTGAGATAGATAGATAGATAGATAGATAGATAGATAGATAGATAGATAGATAGATAGATAGATAGATAGATAGATAGATAGATAGATAGATAGCTTGCTTGGTTTTTCTTTTTCTTTATTTCGGAATAATACATTAACTTTTTTCATCTAAAACTATTTCGTACCAATCAATTACAAGGCTGTATCGATTGGATAATGCCAAGTAAGGGAGTTCAGTAAAGGTCATAAGAATTTTTTTTTTCCAAATACCAGCAAAAAAAAAAAGATAAATTGTTTTAACAAAAGGAGAGATAAATGGCGCAAAGTGATCAGCCGGCAGTTACGTTGGCGTCGACTCTGCGGTCAAAGGTTAGTCGTTAACATTGACGCCTCGATGTGACGCATAATGACCAACTGTTCGGCCATTTTAAGAAGACAGCATCGACAAATGGACGCCATTTTTTTTTTTAATATTGAAATCTCGCCTTGCGTGCTTTGGGGTCGTCGGTTTATGAAAAGGCCATACCGAAGTGTCGTCTGTCAAACCGGATCTCTGCTACAAAAAGAGGATATTTACTGCGCCTTCTCTTTGAGGTGATATCTTTACACAGTGGTATTCTGGCATACAAGCAGGTAATAGATAACACTTTACAAGTAATTTCCCGAAAATGGTGGATGTAAATTACCCGTGAGTACCGGCTCAATTTTCGCACAGTCGATTATTAGTTGGTTGGCCAGTGTAAGTCAATAGGCAGACTAAGTTGAAACCCAAGGGAACACTAGTTTAGACCTATTGAACTCAAATAACTGATTAAAGCATCTTCACACACACACAATAATATATATGATGTATATAAAATAAGTGTGCGTATCATATATATATATATATATATATATATATATATATATTGTCATCCACAGACAGACTGTTTCGCTCTATCACAGCTCATCAATGTGGCTAGACGTCCGGTTGCCTCTAACTAGGATCGAAACCCGGTTGATATATATATATATAGTTATACGGATGTAAATTTGTAACCCAGTGTTATAAACTCACATCCATACAACTAAGTATGGTAGCTCTATCACTGATATTGGGCGCTTTTCAATAAGTACCAGACGTATATAATATATGAATAATGGATATATAAATCAGACGCACACACATATATACTTACAGATTCTACATATATATATATATATATAGATAGATAGATAGATAGATAGATAGATAGATAGATAGATTATCTACATATATACATATTCTGCACACACACCACACACACATATATATATATATATATATATATATATATATATATATATATATATATATATATATAATATATATAAACATTGCCATTTAAGAATATATGTGTATGCACAGATTGGCATAGATCGATAGCAAGAAAGAAAGAAAGAAAGAAAGAAAGAAAGAAAGAAAGAACAGATTGAGTAATGAAACGTGTAAGGAATGATATTGAAAAATAAAGAAAGAAAGAAAGAAAGAAAAAAACGTGTCCACTAAATTATCACACAAAATATTTATAAACCAATCACACTCAATAAAGTGTTTACATCTTAAAACACATCAATAAAACCATACATCAGAAAGATTTTTTTATTATTCATCATGATTTAGGTAGATACCGCCAAAATATCGTGCGGACGTAGTAGAAGACATACCACGTGGCTTTTTAGGGCCAATTAGGAAGAAATATATATAATTCTGCAGCCAATTTTCTTACAAAAAAAGTGTATAAAAATCACGAAGTCCGGCCCCGCCCCTAAAAAAATGAGACGCACAGATGTTACCAAGGTCCACGTCACTGTAGCTGCTTATCTTCAAGACCCTCATTCACGTCCACACGCAAAAAAAAGCAATGGTGCTGACAAACTACAAAAAGACTGCCTCAAATTATGGCACCACAGTTCACAGTAAGAACTAAATTCTAGCTATCTCTTTTATTCCCCGTTACTACTTACCACGTATACACGTATTGATTCTTTCACACAATCACACATGTGATAACATTTGGCCGTTCTCACATACGTACGCAATACAGTTTATATTTTTATCCAAGAAGTCTTTTTTAACACCCCCCCCACCAAAAAAAACACTTTACTCATTCAATACATTCAACAAATTTCTTGTATTCATGTCGTTATATTAAATTAATGTTTATTTGTTGATACTATGTCTTCTTTTTCTACTGGATTTTATTCTTTCAATGAAAATCGTGAGATTATTCTAAACGACCGAATTACGAGCAACCCCTGAACAATATTTTATGTTGTTGTACCGAATTCCCACACTCCGAATATTGACATTTAACAAAAACCCGAGTAGAAGGATTCCTACAGAAAGAACAGATTATGATAAGTGCATCAGTAACATATGTGCGGAATGATATTGAAGAAAAACAGAAAAAAGAAAGCAATAGGTCTGGTATATCAGAATCAGATATGTGTAAAAATGTAATAGATACCTCCACTAATTCACCGAAAAAACAGCATAGCATTATGAAAAGGGCCCCAAACTTAATGAAAACAAAGTTTTTTGCCAAAATGTTCATGTTATTATTAAGAGGAAAGACTAAATATTTTTTTAATTATTTTTTAGAAATTTTTTAATCCTTTCTACCACGTTCAAAATTTTGGTTAAAAATCTTTTTTACATCAACGGTAACGTAATATTTAGCATTAGTTTTTTTTTAGCGCTTTTTTCAGTTGAAAAACATTAATTTAGAAATTCTTGCAAAAATCAAATAATTATCGGATTTTAACGCAATTTTTGAGACTTATTAACAAATGAATACAGATTCTCTTAAATTGTCAAAAAAGTTGAGATTCCGATCTATATAATATTTATTTAAAATAATTATAATTATTTTACTGGCTGGAAATAGTAAATTTACTCTTTTAGCTTTTAATTAAAGCTAAAATTAAATCTTCATGAATGCTTTTTCATTTTTTTAAAATTCATTTTAAACCTTAGGCAGCGAAAACTTATACCGAATTAGTGAAATAGCTAGTGTGTAAAAAGATAGAAATGAATACCTACATACAGAAATATATTTATCTTGATAAGTAATAACGGCGCACAAAAAACTCTCAAGAAAGAATAGAGTAAAATTCCGACATTTGTAACATTTAATTTAAAAGAGGGCTCAATACAAAAGTAGAACAATATAATAATAATAATAATATCCTAAAATGAAGTAATATCCTAAAATGAAGTATATATATATATATATATATATATATATATATATATATATATATATATATATATATAATATCCTAAAATAAAGTATATATGTAATATCCTAAATAATATATAATAATAATATATAATATATAATATGTAATATCCTAAATAATATATATCCTAAAATAAAGTATATATATATATATATATATATATATATATATATATATATATATATATATAAAAAATGATCACACATAAATTAATCAAGTATCAATGCGATTATTGGCGACATCCATCGCTAGAAATCATAATATATGCATTAAAATCCTGATTTTCAAGAAAAAAAACACAGTTTTGATGATGGATGGAAAAAACTTGTTGTAAGTAATTAGTATTTTAACATCAAATAAACTGAAAACTTACAGACAACAAGTTTTTCATCCATCAATCAGGTATATCGTCTCAGGATTTTAATTTTATAAAAAAAACACATGCCTGATGGATGTCGCTAATAATCGCATTGATACTTGATTAATTCTATGTGTGATTATTTTTGTATGTAAATCATATGCTGCCTAATGTTTTATATATATATATGTATATGTATATGTATATATAAAAGTAATATAATAATAATATCCTAAAATAAGTATATATGGAATATCGTATATAATATATATGTAATATACTAAATAATGTATAACATGTAATATCCTAAATAATAATATATAATTATAATATATAATAATCATATATAATATGCAGTATTCTAAATAATATATAATATCCTGAAATAAAGTATATATATATATATATATATATATATATATATATATATATATATATATATATGCATTGGGACCGTTTTTCCGATCTTAAAGAAATAAATATAACCTCATGAAGTTTTAATGTTTGCGATTTTATGATGATAATTCTTGTTCTTTCTTTCTATTTTGGAAATATCCATATTAATCACTAATATTATCATTATATATATATATATATATATATATATATATATATATATATAATTATTTAAAAATATGATTCCAACTCGCGACTTTGGATTATTTACCCAACCAGTTCTTTCCTATTTTCTATATATTTTTCATATATATATATATATATATATATATATATATATATATATATATATATATATATATATATATATATGAATGATAACTTGATTCTATCAGCATTCTTGTAAAGAATTATACTCTCGTATGTATCTCGAATATTTACTTTTCAAATAAGACTTGATAAATATCCAATTGTTGTACTCTTTATTTTCCCAATTTCTTTACTACAACCGAAAAAAGCCACTGGTGCCCGGCGAACTATCGATTAATCAAACTAGTAGTCTGAATTCAAAGAAATAAATCTCTGTAATTGATTGTATTTGGTGTCGGAAGGAGAAAATTAAACATTTCTTCTGTCATACTAAGGTTAACCGTTGAATTCTGATTTTGCCTTAAAAATAATTGACGGAAAGATATATTCCTTGTCGAAATTAGCTTCGTGTGTCTTGGGGGGAATTCGAGATGCCTTACGTAAATGGCTGTGTATTACGAACATATTTAATGGTATGTAAATGCATGCTTATGTACATGAATATATATATAACCTCTCGCCTCTGGAACTCCCTTCCCTTTTCCAGTTTCCTTGATAGCTATAATCTCCAACTATTCAAATGTAATGTCAATCGACATCTCCAGTTGCCTTGATCTATCCACTATCCTTCTCTTCATCCTTTCCTCTATCGTTCCTATCTGCTCTCGCTCCAAATCCTATGTAACCCCTGGCGTGTTAGTGGCTTCTCACCTTTCTGGGGGTGAAATGCTTATATATATATATATATATATATATATATATATATATATATATATATTCATCCACACACAGATTGTTTCGCAGCTCATCAGTGTGGCTAGACATCCGATTGCCTCAAGCCGATTTGGTATCAGTCGGAGGCACTACCCCTAAGCCATTGGCGCACGGCAGGGATGATGATGAATTTAGACGTATTTATTTTTAGATAAACATATATATAATATATTACATATGTATGTATATATATATATATATATATATATATATATATATATAAATATATATATATATATATATACATAGATATACATATATATATATATATATATATATATATATATATATATATATATATATATATAGATATATGCATATATATACTTATATATCCATATGTACATATATATACATATAGGTTCATATATATAGACATATATATATATGCATATATATACATATATATGCACAAACACACACACACACACACACACATATATATATATATATATATATATATATATTATAAATTTTGATTTAAAATGTGTTTTTTGCTACACAGTTCTAACCATGTTTCAAAAATTTTTGAAACATGGTTAGAACTGTGTAAAAAAAACATTTTTAAATCAATTAATTTATAATATTAATGCTCTGTAAATTTACATCGAGCACTATTTTGTAAAATAAAAATATCTATAAGAACACCGGATTATATATCTTACTGTTCTTTATTTTTTTTTATATATATATATATATATATATATATATATATATATATATATATATATATATATATATATATATATATGTTTGTATATACTGGTTAGTGATCATATACGTATTAGGGATAGGGTGATGGTATGACAGGAAAAAATTAATTTGGTGCAGAAGAATCAATTTTATCTGATAATTTAATTTACAAGTTTGTAGATTAGGATCAAGAAAATTTACTTACAATCGGAGAGTTTAAGCCAATTAATTTTTCAGAAGGAATATATATATATATATATATATATATATATATATATATATATATGACTGCGTGTGTGTATACCTACTTATCTATGCTTCCAATCAAGGCCAATAGACCTTTTAAAAAATTATCTCCGTATGTGCATATGTATGTGTGTATAGTTCTGAAGAGTATAATGTACTTCAACGGCTAATTCGATTTGAATTCTCGCAAATAGTATATCTTCAGCATCTGCAGACATTTTCAACCTTTCTTGTTATTTTCCTCCTAGTTATTATGTGAAAAGGGCTGATTTTTATGACATAAAGGACTTAGAACTGGGTTCCCAGTGGAGTTGGGGTTTAAAATAGTCTATCATAAAAGATGTTTTAACCCAAAAATTCAGACACTTTCATTGCATTTTTGTTAAACATTAAATATACACTGTTCTACAACATAAAAGCTTCAAAAATAAAAATAGCTAATCTTAGCTTATTTCAGGCCACTGGAAATAAAAATTATATCTAA